TGGGACTGAATGGAGCTTGGCTCCCACCTGCTTGGGGAGCCTGTCTGAGCACCACAGCAGAGCAATTAAGAGCTGGACCTTTGGAACAAGCCAGACTTGGGTGTGACATCCCAGCGCCTCCCCCTAGTCTCTGTGTGACTCTGAGCAAGTCACTTCCCTGTCTGGGCCCGTTTCATCCTGTGTGACTGGGACCGTGACATCTCGCATCTCAGAGATGGTTGCAGAGATGAAATGGAATCACGGGCGTTACGGACGGACAGACGGACAGAAGGCCGAGGCAGGGGAGGAGGCTGTCATTGCCGGTATCCTGGCGGCAGTCAGCAGAGAGCTGCATACTTAGCAGTAGCTGGAGAAACGTTTTCTAAAAAGACCCCTGGAGACCTTGGGGCCAGTCTTCTAAGTCACCTCTTCTCTTTAAGCCTAAACCGTAAAATGGAGATAAGAACCCCCACCACTCAGGGAATATTTCAACGGAGGGACAAATCAGGTAGAAGAATCTATATACTAGAAAATGACCTAAGAGAGTATCATTACAAGGTGGGGGGCAGGGCACAGAACACAGACTGGGAAAGCAGAAACAGCTATTGACGGCTCCACCTGTGAGCATAACAGGTAGAAACCATTTAGTTGGAACTAGCACCTAACTCACCCAGCAGCGCCCCCTGCCCTGCAGGACGCAACATCACTTCTGGAAATACACTGAGGCCTCCTCGGAGCCCTGTGGTGCCAGATAACACGCAGCTGCTTCTGAGAAGGTCGGGCGGTGGGGTTTCCACTCTCTGGTTAAGGCGGAGGTTGCTCGCTGAGAATCAGCACAGCTGATGGTGAAGGAAGAGGCCAAGTGTATTAGCGACCAAATGACCCCAAGACTTGGTGGCTTCAAACAACTTAATTATCTCGCAGTTTCTGTGGGTCAGGGATGTGGGGGTGGCTCAGCTGGATGCCTCTGGTGTCCGGTCTCACAGGCTGTAATCAAGGTGTCCCTCGAGGCTTAACGGGGGTGAGTCCTGCTTCTGAGCTCAGCTGCACGGCTGTTGGCGTGAGGCATCGGCTCCCCGCCACGTGAGCCTCCCCTCGGGATTCCCCGGTTGTTAATATCTTGCATTAGTGTGGTATATCTGTGACAACTGATGAGCCCACACTGACACGTTATGATTAACTGAAGTCCAGGGTTTAGGAGTCACTCTTGGCGTTGTCCTTTCTATGGGTTTGGACAAACGTGTAATGACATGTATCCACCGTTACAGTTTCACACAGAAGAATTTCACAGCCCTGTTCATCCCTCCACCCACCTGTTCTCCACCTCTTCAGCCTCCCCTCCTTCCCCTGAATACAGTCTCTTTCTGTGATTTGTACTTGGGTTGGGTGACACCTAGGGGGTGGGTTTCAAACTTTAAGTTTGATCATGTCACTAGAATATGCCTACGGGACCGGTAAGACACTGTAAGATGCTCCAAATCCCATCTTGGAAGAGACATTCCATCATTTTGGCCACATTCTATTCCTTAGAGTCAGTCCATAGGTACCCCATGGGAGGGCATGAACGCTAGGAGGCAGAGATCACAGGGAACATCTCCCATGCCAATCCACACCAGTCATTTCATCCCTGGCATTTGTCTTCCTGTGATGTCCCTCATGGATATTCACAGGGCTCACACAGAAGCACTTTGTTTCCAAGTCTCCAACCATGACTGGTGTGGAAACCCAAAGGCTACTCATGGTGGGACGTCTTATAGTGAGCTAGTCATGTAGGCACATTCTAGTGACGTGATAAGCCTTAAAGGTTGAAACCCACCCCCTAGGTGCCACCCAACCCAGGTGCAAATCATGAACCCAATTATGATTACTAAACAGTGCTCGCCGGCTGATACATTCTGCTCCAAAACAACTCCTGGACCCAGGGTTACACAGCACTGTTCATCTGTAGTTAATAGATTCCTGAGTGTTGGCCAAGGGTCAGTAGTTCTGGAGATAAGTGTGCAGTCAATCTAGACCGTTGAGATGAACTCATGCTATGCAATCCACTCCCATGACCCTTAGTCAAGATCTTTTAAAAATGAATCATTGGCAGCTCTTTACGGAGTCACTCTGAATTCTATGTAGATTTTATATAGATTCTATGACAATCTGTTCGGTGCATGTGTCAGGTGGGGTTGCCTCCCCCGCCATGCCCTCACCATACCCTAGGTCTGTGGAGCAGTCAATTTCTTGGCCTCTGTGATTAGTCCAGTGATGGGCATATGACCTGTGCCATGCCAGAGACCTTCTGTGTTGTTGATAGTGACACTAAATAGGGACACAGGAGTGACTCTCTTTTCTTCAATGAACTATAAGGATGTCAGTGGTCATCTCTGCAGTCCTGCTATGAGAACCTGCCTGAACATGAGGCTAATCAGGGGAGGCAGGGACAAGATGTGGAGAAAGAGACAAATTTTAATGACACAGTATGACCTCCTGGATATAGCCATGCCTGAAGCCACAACCAACCCTGGACTCTTGGCCTCATAAGTCAATCAGTCCCTTGTCTGCAAGCCAGTTTTCACTGGGTTTTCTATTCCTTGCCACTGGAAGGGTCCTCACTGAAACAGGCTGGGTGTCAGAAAGATACTTAAAACTTTTAACCCAGTGTGGTTTGAGTTGAAGCCACTTCTGTGCTTGTGGAAGGCTGTGCTTCCTTTATTCGTATCTCCCACTTGGTTCCAGGATACAAGTAGGCACGTTCTTGTTTGGCCCAAAGCCCCCTTCCCAGAACACTGGGCTTCGAGAGCCTTGATTAATTCCTCCTATATTCCCCCTTCTCCAGACCCTTGTAATTTGTTTTGTGGTTTGTTTGAATTCCATCAGCCAGCCACTGTAGCCACGTTCTTTTTGAAGCTCACCCTTTGACGAGGTGAGCGCTACACCATCACCCGGGACAGTCCCTGGTGGCTGTGTAGCTATCCCAGCATAAAACATCATTGCTTAAAAACTCTTGCAGTAGACTGAAGTGTTTCCTGAGGGCCAGGGGTTATGCTAAATGCTGTATGTAATTCCTGCATTTGATTCTCACAACACTAAGGTAGGTATTTGCATCTCTGTTTCCAGATATGGTAACTAAGGCTCAGAGAGGTTAAGCAATTTGTCTGAAGTTACACAGTGAGTATATGGTGGGAAAGCGGTAAATGCAGCTCTGAGATCAAAGCGCATAATTTTCACCACTCTCGCAGGATATCTCATAGCAGAAAGGTGACCACAGGCCGCCTCCTTCCCCACCCTCCGTGGAAGACAGTGCAAAGTGATCAAAGCATCCGGAGGCTGGCGTGCCCTCAGACACCTCCACACACAGCACCTGCAGCCACAAGGGCTGAGCCAGAGGGCACAGGAAATGCCAAATCAGCTGCCCCACCCTCTGCTGTCTTTACCTTGAACCTGGGGCACTGGGCGAGGTCTGAGGCTGAGTACTAGCTCACTGCCCACCTGCTCCTCCCCACGGAGCCGCACCCAAGCACTTGGTCCCCTCTGCCTGATTCCATGGGTACCCCCCAACCTGGTGGCAGGGGACAGGCCTGGCCTGGACACAGGGAGGGCCTCTGCCTGGCCTGGCTGCTCGCCTCCTCTCCAGGGGAGGACAGGCCTCTTCTGAAAGGCCCTTCAGTGTATCTTCCCAGGGTCCGAGGGCCAACAGGAGAAAACTCTGTACCTGACCTTTTAAGGAGGGGGATGAGGGCTGCCTGTTGGCCGGGGGCTGGCAGAGACCAAGAGGACCACTTCTGCTCAACTTTCAAATACACATTCTATGATGCTTGGCGTTGGCTTTCAGCTTCTCCTGAGTAGACCGTGTGTCTTTAATGCCTTGAAGGCAGGACCTTCATCCTAAACCTCCACTCTGTCCCACTCAGGGCCTGCACTATGCTGGACAGAGGGGACCGAGGCCACCCCGGAGACCACCCCATCCCTTGGAACTTTTGGGCTGCATCTTTGTGCCTGAAGGTGGTTCCCCCAACTGAAGTCGGCCTCTAGGAATGCCAGGGAACTAACAGCCCCCAGGACCCCTGAACCAAGGCCTCTGGGGAGTCTAATACCCCAGCTCCCTCCCTTTCAGGCAGGATAGTCCCGACACTGTTTCCTGGTAGGACTAAGGCCCAGCTGCCCAGTAAGGAAGCTGGTTTAATAGGATCCGTGGATTGACTGTCTCCTTCCCGGAATCCCCTCTGCTGATTTTTCCTTTACCTCCCATGTAATCAATCCACTTGCATTTGAGTCTTTACTTCTGGAAGAATCCAAACTACGGCAGCACATGGCCCTCAGTCAGTATTTGTGGAAAGGAAGAATGCTAATTTAGAGCAAGTAGTATAGTAGGGTCTTTTTAATGCTCCAGAATTCTGCTCAAAATGCTGTCTTGGGGGATTAGGGAAGGACCATATTGATAAGAGAAGCAATATTCCTTTGAGACGTCCCATCATAACCTCCCAGAGATGCCGTTCTGGAACTCACTTATTTTGCTGAACCTTTTTTTTAAAATTACCATTCTATTTTCTTAGTGGAGGTACTGACGATGGAATCCAGGACCTCATGCATGTGCTCTACCACTGAGCCATACCCCCAACCCCAGAACTCACTTATTCTGAAAGCCACATAAGGGCAGGGAGTATATTTAATTAAAGTATGGTCTCCAGGATATTTGGGGCATTTTCCGTGGGCCTACAGAAACAGGCTAGGTGAGGAGTTTTACCCATGAAATTAGTTTAAGATTTAGAATTGATACCATCTACACACTCTTCTCTTGTTCGTGGGGGTGGGGGGTGGGCAGGGGAGATTATAGATATCTGTGTTGGGAAGTCACATAACAAGAGGATGCCAGCTTATTTGAAAAACGGGAAATTCGGGAAAGAATTTAGTTCACGACTGCTTTCACTGTGAAGCAGCTGTGGCTTTTCTGAGCAGCGAAGTCTGTCTTGGTGGGAGGAGAGTTGAGCTCGTCAAGACCTCAGACATCTGCTTGCTTCAGAGGTAGGTCTGATTTCCTTTTATTTTTATTCTTTTTTTTTTTTAACACATCAGCTCGTGGTTAGGATAAATTATAAGCTTGTTCGCGTCATGGGTGGGTTTTCACTCCGGCATAGTTGTAGCTAGATGGGACGGAGTGTAGGAGCTTCGGAATAAGGTTTCCTTTAAAGCAGCAATTCGGCTGCCCCGCATTCAGTGTGCGCCCCGCATTCAGTGCGCGCCGCCTGCGGCTCGGGCGCCGTCCTGGTCCAAGAGGCAGGCGGGGTTCTTGGGGGTCTCCTCGGCACCGAGGTCCGCGTGGAAGCCCTTGAGGGCCCAAACCCGGTACCGCTTCCTCCGGTTCAGCTTATAGATGCGAATCCTTTCTTTTTCGGCCTCTGGGTCGGCGAGAGCTCCATCCCAACGCAGACTTTCGTTGACCCGGTTGGAAAGGTTCTCTTCTATTTCGGCAAAGCCGGGGAGACGTGCGGCGGAGGAGTAAGAAGGGGTGAGCTTGCTTTCATCCCTGTCCTGTCTGTGCTCCGGCCCCGCCCCGTGATCTTTGCTGGGGCTTAAGATGTCATGGAAGGATGAAGACAGCTGCTGATTCTTCAGGGTTCGACTCTGATGTTTATCTGCTGAGCAGATGGGTAGTGTGAGCGTTTGTGGTGCCTGCTCTCAGCCTGCTCAGAGACGATGCCCAAACCACCAAAGATGTAAAAGGGGAGTGGAGGCCCCTCCTCACCTAGGGCTCAGGTGGCCAATCCCACCAGCCTCCTACACACCCACTGCCTAGATGCTTTGGGTTGTCATTTTGGGTAGCGAGGAACTGTTTATCGAGCACGTCCTATGAGCCAGGTCCTCTGGGTAAAGGCTATCAGCCCTGTTTACCAAGTGGGGAAAGAGACTCCAAGTTTCAGTCTCTTGCCAATGTCACACAGCAGGTGACAGAGCCAGGATCTGAACACAGGCCTGACTCCCAGTGCCCTGTTCTTTCCGTGTGGCACCCCCCTCTTCTTCTCTCCACATGCTCACCAGGGTAAGTTCCAGTTCTGGGAGTCTGTGACTTACACCTAGTCTAGACACTTTATGATGGAAGAAATGGAGAACAAGAGGAAAGCTTCCTAAATCTGACTCCCAAAAGCATTCTGCCAAGCCAGGAAATATGTCTGCTGTGTGGCTTGTACTGATTTTTGGAAAAATATTAATAGAATTTCTGAATTATGTAACATGCATATAAAACACTACAAATTGTGATTCCTTCATCAGATCATCCTATTCGGGGGGGGGGGGGGAATCTCCTTCTGCCCACCAAAAAACAAAAACAAAAACAAAAAACCTCTCTTAATATTTCTATACCTTCCCACTACCCAACAATTATTTGGTGTCCCCTGCTGACAGTATAAGGTACATGCCACTGTAATTTCTAGAGTCAGAAGCTAAGCCCCAAAGATAATAAATTTCCTAATCTGTTCTGGCAGCTACACATGGGGCTTTTGGACCTAAACTCTAGAATTGTTTTCTTGCCTTTTTATTACTATTCCACCTGAAGAAGGAATTATAGTCTGCCCAATGCTCCCTTCCCCATACTGCAAGGCTGATATAGGGAAGGATGCTTTTCCATCTGCCTCCAGCCAGCCAGGGGCGCCGGCTCTGCACAGAAAGGACCAGGGCCCAGAAACTTGAACCCAGGACTAGCTGTGCCGGAGGTCAGGCCCGTTGTGCCAGGGTCAATGAGAGCCACCTCTCCGACAAGAGACCCTGAAGTGGACCACACAAGACACAGTGGAGACTTACAGCACCCAAGGACAGACACATTCTCTCTCCGTAAAGTGAGTGCTCAGGGCCTTTGTTGTGACACTAGCGGGTTCTATGAGAGGAGCTCAGTGAGCTATAGGGACTCTGTGGGTCTGTGACAGTTGTTGGTGTGTGTACACCTGTGAAGTGTCCCCGGGAGAGCCTGGAGTGAGAACCCCGTGTGTGTGATTATATGTGTGCAGGAGGGGTCTATGCGGGTGAGTGTGTACCAGAGTGTCTGCTTGTTTGTGCAGACTGTGAATGTGTGTGCCTGCTGGGGTATCTGTGCTTTAGTTTTGTTTGGTAGTTATAGTGATATAAGCGGGTGTTTTTGAGGGTGTTGGGGATTACAAGAGAGTGTGCAGCTGTGACTGGTGTGATGGTGTATGCTGTCAAAGGCTAGCCTTGGTGAATGAGGGAAGGGGGAGGATGGTCTGTGCTGGGAGGATACTTTATATGCATGTCCTGAGTGTCAACACAGCATCCAGAAGCAGGTGCCCTAATGTATGAGGGCATAAGGAGGGTCTCTAGGTGGAAGGCAAGAGTCTGCGATTCTGTGTGTGAGTGGCTGTCACTAGTGCCTTAGTATCTTTGGGTTGGGAAAGTCTGTGTGTGAAGATAAAGGCATCTCTGTAGGAGGGTTTGAGATTTCTGTACAGAAGGTATGGATGTTAGGATTTTGAATTTGGACTTAGGGATTAAGAAAGTTGAATGAATGTGTAAAGCTAGGAGTCACAGTGTTGGGTGGGGAGGCCCTGTGGGGATAACACTGAGTATCTGTGGGTTGTCTCTGTGTGGGGTTAAGGGTCTCCATGGTTGTTGAGAATTCTCGACGCAGGATTTGGGGTCTCTGTGGACAAGGGTGATCTCTATGGGTAGGGCTGGAGCATCACTGTGCAGCGGTAAGTGGTATGTGCCGGGAGCGGGAGGACCTCTGACTGGGACTGGCAAGTTTCTGTTTCTGGGCTGACGTGGTCCCCAAGTAGATGGGGGCGGGGAGGGTCTCTGAGAGGTGGGAGTGGGTGTCCATGGAGAAGAATCTCAGGTAGGGGATTTGAGGCTGCCGCGCTAGCTGCTCTTCTTACCGTCCCCCTTGCCCGACCCCTTGGCCTTTTTCTTCTTTTTCTTCTTTACTTTCCGTTTGGTCAGTTCTGAGGCGCAGCCTGCGATGGGGGGCAGTCTGGACCCATGCGAGCCCGCCTTGCCGCCCTCTTGCTCCTCCTCCTCCTCGTCCCCGCTGTCCTCGCCCTCCTCACCATACCCCGACGCCCCGGTCCCACCACCACCCTTCATCCGCCCGCGGGGCCAACCCCCAGCGCCCGGGGCAGCCCGAGACCCGCAGCTGCAGCTGAGTCCGCGGCTCCCGGCGAAAAGAACCGGCCAGAGCCACGCGTCTCCATGGCGACCGCCGCGCACCGCGCGTGCGCATTCCGGAGGCTGTCGCCCAGGAGCCGCTGTAGACGCAGATGTGCGCGTGCGTATTTCGGCCTGAGCGCTTGGCGTGGTCGGCGGTGCCAAGGGGAAGAGAGGGTAGAGGTTCTGAATGTTTGGGCTGACGGACATCTCGTCCACTCCTGCGCATGTTTAAATGCTGTGTGTTCTCTCCTAAATTTTTACCCCCTGAGTTCAAATTTTGTACATCTACCCTGGCCTTTCAAGCCCATGACCAAACAAACTCACTTCTCCATCATTCTCCATCTCTGTGACAGAAACAGAGGGTCAGGCCAGAGACCTGGCAGCCTTCCTTGCCCCCACTCTCTCCCTGTGCGCTCACCTAGGGCAGGGCTGACCACCACAGGTAGGACTTGAACTTCTGGACGCCCTTCTTAAGTGGTCTCTGCTTCCAAACACGCCCACAAATTCTTTATCCACCCATTTGCTAGAATGAACTTCTTAAGATGATGGACAATTTCACTCTCTTGCTTAAAAGCCTCCAATGGGGCCCCATCACAAGCAGTATCAAGACTGAACTTTAGTGTGACTTAAGGCCTGGTGGAAGCTTTAACCTTTTCTTTCCAGGTTTATCCACTAGACTGTATTTTACAAACATGGCTGCAATGACATCTGTCATCCCACTTGCTCTTCTAGAATCTTGCCGCAACAAGAGACAGTCTAATTCCACTCCCTTTCAATCTAGGTGGGTTGGTGGACCCACTTGTTACCACTAGTATGTGGCGAAAGTGACACTATGTGACTTCTTAGGCCAGGTCATAAAAGAGAACGCATATCCACGTGGTTAGCAGAAGACTTGCTCCTGGAGACCTGAACCTCCTGGTAAGAAGTCTGAGTGCCCCCAGGAAGCCCAAATTAGAGCACATGGAGAGACCCTAAGAATATACGGAAGGAGAGAGAGAGAGATGTCCCAGCTGCTCCAGGCCCCATTTTCCCACCTCCAGCTGTAGTCAGACTGTAACAGCAGGAGAGACTCCCCAACCAGCCCTACCCAGACAATTCCTCAATTCCTGACCCAAGGAAACTATGAGAAATAAATAAATGATTGTAATTGTTTTAAGTTACTAAGTTTTGGGGTGATAAGTTACGGAGCAGTAGAAAGCTGGAACATCAGTCTTTGATTTTAGCCATTCTAGTATTTATGAAGTCGTGTTTTCCTGTGGTTTTAAGTGCCATTTCCCTGATGACTAATGTTGTTGAGCACTTTTTAAACTGTTTATTGGCCTTTTGTATAACTTACTTTGTAAAGTGTCTGTTGAAATCTTCTCCCATTTTGTCCCTGAATGTTTATATTTTTATTATTGATTTGTAAAAGCTTTTTACATGTCTTGGATATACATCCTTTGTCAGGTATATTGCTGCAAAGATTTTTTTTTCCAGGTCTGCAGCTTGTCAATTCATTTTCTTAGTGGTGTCTTTTGATAAGCAGAAATTTTATATTCTGATGAAACCATTTAAAATTTTGTTCTTTTTGTATATGCGCCCAGAAACCTTTCCCTGCTTCTAGGTCACAAAGATAGTCTTCTGTTTTCTTTAAGAAGCTTTATAGTTCTGGGGTTTTAGGTTAGGTTCACAATCCGTCTCAAATAAATTTTGTGGATAAAGTCAGATAGGGATCAAGATTCATTTTTTTCCCAAAGAGATTTCCAGTTGTTCCAGCAATTTTCATTGAAAAGACATCCCTTTCCCCATTGACTTCACATGACATTTTTGTAGAAAATCGATTAACTGTCTGTGTGTAACTCTATTTCTGGGCTCTATTCTGTTCCATTAAGTTATTTGTCTTTTCCTTACAACAATACCACACTGTTCTGATTATTGTGGCTTTATAAGTCTTTTTTTTTATTTTGTTGGGGGAGGTAATTAGGTTTATTTATTTATTAATGGAGGTACTGGGGATTGAACCCAGGATCTCGTGCATGCTAAGCAGGCACTCTACCACTGAGCTATACCCTCCCCGCCTGTAAGTCATGATATTAAACAGTGTTAAGTCCCCCAACTTCGTTCTTTTTGAAGGTTGTTTTGACTATTCTAGAGCCCTTGCTTTTCCATATACTTTTTCAAGTCATCTTGTTTATTTCTTCAAAATAGCCAGCTGCGATTTGTATGGGGAGGGCATCAAATCTATAAATTTTGTCACTCCTAGTACTCCATAGTGACAGTCATTATTACTGATCCACACACAGGCATGGATAAACACATTGCTCTGTAAAGGGCCTTTCTGTTTTTCTGTTTTCCTCAGTCGCTCATCCATTGTCAAGCTCCCTAAAGTTTCCAGCACAGCTCTGCACACAGCGAGTACTTGAAATCTTTCCTCGCTTGTCTGCTTTTGTCCCCAGAAGCTAAGTGAAATGTAAATGACAGAGGTCCTGTGTGTAAATGACCACCTGCTAGTGCAGATGTATGCAGTTTGCTTTCCAGATGCTCTACCCTACTTACCCTGGTGGTTGCAGACAGGTGCTTACAAAGAGCGGCTACCCTCCTTTTCCAAGAAAGGCTGGCCTGTCTTCCCTCTCGGCCAGTCCTCTTTGCCTGGATGCTTATCTAGCATGAGGCAGCTTGACCACTTCTCTTCCCACTTTTAATGAAGGTTGCACCGAGGTTATGTTGAGCCAGCCAGTCAACTTGGAGAGAGAAAATTCACATCCAGCAAAGGAATACATTTTTAAAAATTATCATAAAAGGCCCTTGCAAGCAGAGCGAGCTAGGACAAGTGTATCCCTTTTTGACAGATGAGGAAACAGAGATGCACAGGGACCCACTCACCTCTTAGTGCTACTTAGCTACCACTGTGGGCCAGGAATCCACATCCCCATCTTGTGGGAGAGCAGTCAGCTTTACAGTGATGTTCATTGACCAGCAGAAAAGATGATGGTATTTTCATTGTTTGTTTCAGCTTCCTTGTTTACACTTTCTCTTTGCAGTTTCAGCAGCTGTTACTGTTTTGAGCAGGTAGTTGCTGAGGTTTCTTTCTTATGATGATCAGTTGGCCCCTTTGGCCAGTGTTGACATGGCATGCTTGGGTAGAGCTTGCAGCTCTGTCCTTTCCTGCTGCCTGCTCAGCCCAGGTCGCCCCAGCTGGCTGGGCTGCTGGCGCCGGCTCCCTGCTCTCTGCTGCCCACTTTCTCCACGCTGTCATTTCCTTCCCCTAGGGAGGCAGGCATGTCCACTCTCCAGCAGCACCAGCCTTAGACTCGGGCAAGTAGGCCCGCCCTGGGCCTTGTGCTTCACAGGACCCTGCTCTGACTCTCCCCCAGCTGTATCCCTCCCTAAGGGACAGGAAGTCTGGAAATCAAGGGGTCCTGCCCACCCAGCACCTCCCACTCCTCCCCCAACTTCTAACCCACAATCTGAGTTCCTGGCACCTAGGAATTTCTTGCCCAAAGGGCCCCTGCCTGCTTGTAGGACCTCATTCCTGAGCCCATCTTCTCGAGTAGCCCCGGGCCGAGGGCAGCATAGGTAGAAACTCAACAGGCAGGCTGAGGTGTCCAGACCTGCGCATTCAAGGGCCTTCTCAGTGTAGGATGGAGCTGAGTCAGAAGAGGAGGGGGCAGGCTGTGGACTGGGTGCAGAACCCCAGAGAGCCTGCAATTCTCAGTTTAAACCTGGCCTTCCAGACTGGTATGAAGGTCTGTTTGTCAAGGTGAGAAGATGGGACGTATTTTATTTAACAGTATGTCAATTTATTTCATAACTTCTAATATTTAGACATCTGGCACGTGGGCCTCCATTTCTACTCTTGCCCCGGCTTTGCAACTGTTAAGAGTAGGCTTGCCCTTTATTTTTCCTCCTCTTATAACCCACTCCAACTGCTTCCTGATCTTCATTTCATACCTCCTGGTCCCTTAAAAAAGAAAAGAAAAGAAAAACCCTACAACCTATTGAATAAATTGCATTATATCCATGTGGCGGGCAACTGGGGAGCTTCTAAAGCAGAATGAGGCAGCCTGATTTAGGCTGATTCGAGACAAAGGCCAAGAGAGTGTCTGTGAAGAGGAGAGCTTTATGAATGGTTTGCTCACACCTGCTACCCTCTCCTCACTTCCCTGCAGCCTCACTCACCATCCTGCTATTTCTCCTATATAGTTACAGTTTCTTGCTAAGGATCCCTGCTTCCAAGATTCGTAGTTGCAGCCCTGGTCCCGGAGCTGCTTCTTCAACTGGAGAGGTAGCCTTTCAAATAGGATGTTCATTCACCTTGGAACTGGTATTCACAAAGCAGGCACTCTGTCGGCCAGTCGAGAGCTGTTTACGGGGCACTGTCCAAGTGACAGCAGAAGCCAGCAGCTCCTCACACTGTTCCAGGGTCGGTCCTGGGGGAAAAGAGGCTCCCTGCCTGTGCCTATCTCCTCCTTGCATTCCCCAGGCAGCATGACCCCATGTCAACCACTTCTGTGTTATTCTGGAACTTTTCTGGGCATTGCCTTCCCCCTTAGAGTGTTTCTCTGACATCGCTGAGAAGACATCGCAGGTATTTCAGGTTTCAAGATTATTTTTTGTCCTTTAGTCATAGTGGCAGTTTCAATTAATATCATATAACAAGCTAGTAAATACCCCTCAAATGGAAATTCTCTAGTCCAAAGTCCCAGTAGTCATGGCTGGGAGGTGCTCACAGACCAAAGCCCAGTCTACACTCCATAAAGGGCTGGCACACAGAGTATTTTGGAGTTGTAATCAACATACAAGATTATATCAGTTTCAGGTGTACAATAATAATTCAGTATTTTTATACATTGTGAAAGGATCTCTGCAATAAGATGGATGAAGATGTAGCACATGCACACACACACGCACACACAATGGAATATTACTCAGCCATAAAAAGAATGAAATCTTGTCATTTAGCCACAACATGGGTGGACCTAGAGGGTATCATGCAAAGTGAAATAATTCAGACAGACAAAAACAAATACTGTATGACTTCACTTATATGTGGAATCTAAAAAAAAACCCAAACAAACAAACAAACAAAACAGAAAGAGAGTCTTAGATACAGAGAACAAACTGGTGGTTGCCAGAGGGGAGGTGGGCAGAGGGATGGATGAAATAGGTGAAAAGGATTAAGAGGTACCAACGTCCAGCTATAAAATAAATGTCATAGAATTTCTCCC